TTTGACTTGATCTTAAGAAGAACGACTATCTTACTTTGATAAGATATCGTTTCAAATTCTCACTTCGATAAATGAAGGAAGAATCATTAAACCCCTCACGGTTCAATCAGAATCTGTGATTTGGTGGTCCACGAGTCAAAGCGCTCCCGGCACAGGCAAAGATCTCACGCAAGCAGCGATCCAAACAACGATCCTGCGTTTGTTTCTAAAAAGTTATAATTTTCTGTTTGTTGTGTAAAAGAGGTCTTATAAAAAGGCTATTTCTTTTGAATTTATTGTAATCGACCGAAGATATAATGAATTCCATGACAAAACCAACTTTTGACGCAAACAGTAGTCACATAGAACTAAAACTAGAACAAATTTTACAGTGTTAGTCAAGTAGAACTCTAACAAAACTAGAATTGGGATAATGGTACAAAATTATCCCCTTTTTTTTATTTTTCTATACAAAAATAAGAGTTCTAGTCTCTCAAATTATTCCAAGTTTTAGCTTGGAACTAGGTGGTAAAAAACTAGAACTCATATTTATTTTGTTATTTTTTATTTTTATATTTTTTCTTTACTTCTTTCCTATTATGGGTATCATCATCATTAGATCATCATTATAAAAATAATTGTTAATATCTTATAGTCCAACCAAAAGTTATTTAATAGTAAAGAACATTTTTGTAAGCAATTATCAATCAATAATAGTAAGTTTAAAATACATAAATAGTATTTATATCGTCAAAATGCATAAATATATATTTCCTGATTATAAAAATTTATCCCACGTTATTTTATTAAAATATCCCGCTTCACAAAAATGTTTCTATTTATCCCACTAAAATATCCCACTAGCGAAAAATTATTCCACTTTAACAATTATCCCATTTTGCATGAAAATATCCCAATCGACTAACACCCCCTAAGAGTGTACTACAAATTCTCGTCGATGTTCAAACTTTTTCTGATGGACGGCGGATTTTCTTTTACTTTTGGGAAATTTACTTCCGGCCCCCAAAATGAGGAATGTAATTCACCTCACCTTTAATACTTTCTCAACACCCCAAAAACCCCCAGGCAAATGGGTTTTCTCCTTTGCCCCTAATTCAGTTCCAACGTGATCGAAGTTTAAAGAAAAAATTCTAAACTTACCATTTGATTTAACCGCTCCCTACTCAATAGTCCTTCTTGTTTACCATGTCCATCAATCTCATCTCCATTATCCTTCCTGAGAGAAACCGTCCTAGAGCCATCCTCAAATCGAAACTTTAACCCTAAATCAGCCTACCCCAAAAAGAGGAACATAAGCTCTCGTCTTCTCATCTAGCCTCCCTTCACGCTTTTCCTCTCTGGTAAGTTTCCCTTACTTCAAAGCATGACAGATGAGTCATAGTCCAAGATACTCTCCCATGTATAAGATTTCGAAGAAGAAGGGTCACTATATGAAGTTAAAGCAAGAGCAAAGTTAGCACGGAGTTAATTGATGTTGGAGAAACAATAGGAGATGTTATGGAGGACCTCGCAGTTACTTGTCCCCTGCCCACAAGCCCACGATAACGTATAGATGAAGATATAGCCCACCATGAGGGCAGCAAGGATGATGCAACGAAAGCCCTCTTAGATCTAAAGAAAGGAGCAAAGAGGAGCGATCTGGAAGGCATGAACAAATCAACGACAAAGAATTGAGTTTATTACATAATTCAGTTATTTATGATGTTAATTTTCTTAGCCCGATGTGTTTGAAAGTTGTTTTATTGTTAAAGTACTTGTTTAATATCGAAGGATGTGTGTTAATTGTGAAGGTTACTATTAAATTGTGATGGTTAGTTATTTATTATCAAGAATATTCATTAGCTGTTAATGTTAAGTGTTAGTTGTGAAGATTACCGGTTACTGAAGGTTAATTATTTATTTTCAAGTATATAGTTGTTAAGTGTTAGGTTTGAAGGTTACTATTAAGTTGTGGAGGTTAGATGTTAGTTGTGAAGGTTAAGTGTTAGCTGTGAAGTTTACTATTAAGTTGTGTTGCATATAATTTAGTTATTAAGGTAATAGATTGATTGATAAGGTTACAATTTTGATGTTAGTTGTTAAGGTAATGGATTAGTTGTTAAGGTTACAATTTTGATATTAGTTGCTAAGGTTATGGATTAGTCATTAAGATTATAGATTGATTGTTAATGTTACTAGTTAGTTGTTAAGAACACACAACTTAGACGTTAAAATTACAGATTATTTACAAACTAGTTATACATTTTTATTTTTATTTTTAGACAAAAGGTCATATCATTTTTCCGCGCTACATCAAATTTCATGGTATACTATGATTTCATGCATTTTTTTAATCCAACTTATGGAGAAGAGGCTTTGGGATGTCCATAAATATTGTATTTTCAGATACTATATCCATTTTGGCCCCCGGCTGGGTCTTGATCTTTCCACTTTTGAGTGCGTTTTGAGACAGTGGGTTCGAAGAAGAAAAAATTTATCTTAACAGATTTAAAAATTGGAGAATACTTTGAGTGCATATTCAATATTGAATGGGTGATAAACCATATATGGTTTAAGAATGAGGGAGATTTTATTAGCCCCAACTGAGATCGAAATAATCATATTTTAAAAGAGTATTTTTACCAAAAATGAGGATGACAATAATCTTCCCCTAGGACCTACTAGACACTGTGTTGATGATCTATTCATGAAGCTTGTATGATCTATGAAGCGGAATGATGTAAAGAACTTTGTCCTGTTATAGATTTTGTATAAGCTAAGCATGGCCTAGTGTCCTAACAATGTTCTTAGGATCTCAAAGTACTTGTTCAAGTTTGTTGATAGTACTGAACAAGTAAAAAACACTACTTAGGAATCTATATTTACAATGAGACATACTTAGCAATTGAAGCCGCATTTGAGGGGTCTAGGTATAGGAAAGAAATTTTTACACCAGCAAGGGGGTTTCCAGCTTGTGTCTGTAAGTATTCCTATAGTTTATTATTGTGAGTAATGACTAGATGTTAAGCTTATTTATTAATTGTGAAGGTTATTAATTTATTATAAAATATAGTAATTAGTTATTAAGGTTTGATCTTAGTTGTTAAGATTATGAATTAGTTGTTAAGTATACAGTTTAGTTGTTAGTATTACAGATTGGTTGTTGAGGCTACAGATTGATTGTTTAGGTTATAGATTGTCTGTCAATCTTAAAGATTTTAACTTTTTATATTGATGGTTAAGGTTTCAAAATTGTTATTAATTTTATTGCTTACTTGTTAATGTTCCTGCTATCTTAAAAGATTTATAATCTTCCATTTACCTTGTGTAGTTATGGTACTATCTACCCATTGGTACCAAGAAGCTAGTAAATGGAAGTACATCAAGGCCTCCTCTCACAAATTGGGCGAGACTGGGAGAAGTTAGGGTTCATTAAGAACGTCAACTGTTAAAGCTAAAACTCTACACACTACGATAAAACTTTTCAGAGATACGTGAATAAGTTCCAAGAGGGAAGAAGGTTTTTAAATAACTAGTGTTAGCTCTATTGGAGGAGGAGGAGGAGAAGAAGGAGAAGGAAAAAGAGAAGGAAAAAGAGGAAGAGAAAGGGAAGGAGAAGAAGAAGGAAAACGAGGAAAGGGCTGTAAGAAATTTATGGAAAGAGGATAAGGAGAAGGAGAAGAAGAAGATTGAGATTGGTAGGGCATGTAGCCTAAGACATGTTATCTCCAAAATAAATATCAGAATGGGATCAGAAGATGTTAATAATCTTCCTGCATGGGTAGGCATTGTAATTGCTATTGAGAAGGAGATGACTATGACACAGCTGAACCAGGAGCTGAGGAATGCAAAAGGAAGAAGTTAGTCTCTATATAAGAAAGTGGCACATAAGATATGGATACAGAAAGAAGAGGTGTCAAGGACTGAAGAGATGTCTAAAGTGATGGAGGAGCAAACTACCACATGTTAGCTAAGTTTATTATTAATGGTAGTTGATAGTTGTTAAGTATAATAATTAGTTGTTAACTATTATTAAGGTTACAAATCATTTGTTAATTTTTAGTTTTGTTGTGAAGTGTGCAGATTAGTTGTTAAGTATAATAATCAATTGTTAACTATTAATTAAGGTTATTGTTATATCTGTTTTAGTGATGAGAAATAACTTCCTATCAATGATAGACAAGTGTTCCATATTATGCATAACCGAGTCAGCATTTTAAGATAATCAGAGGCCTAATTCGGTCGACTCGACACACCAACATCTTACTAGGGAGACTTGAAAGGCGTCACATGTCGACGATCCGAAAGGAATCACCTGTCAACGACTCGAAGGGCATTACATAACGTTCCCTGGTTAAGTCGACTGCTTAATCACTCCACTCGGCCGACTAATCGGTCGGCACTTTACGAGGGCAACTCATGAGGCGATACTTATGTACCACCAAACCAGTAGGAAGGCAAAGAAATGCCTTGAGCTTTGAGCCCCTCCCTTACACTGGTGACAAATCACCTCGTAATAAATACCATTAAATGCATTATGGGCGTCATCATTCCTCTGGCCCCAATAGTCTTTATGACACATCAGATAACGTCGGCACCACACACCCCTAATCACTTCGTATTAAATACCAAAGTGACCTCCTCTCCACTCGTCAGCTGACACCTATAAAGTAGAGGCTAACTTGGCCGCTAGCGCATACTTGGCTGAAGTTACCATTCTACCCTTCTACCACTACTATAAATAAAGATACTATTTTCAATAATAGTGTAAGTTTTTCACTACTACTCACTGTGCTTAAGAACTACTATAGTTTATTTTTACTTCTCCACTCAAGCAAGTCATTGATTTAATCATCGGAGGAACAACCGGGGAGCCTAACCCCGCCCTCTTACAATTTGCTACTTGTGCAGAGAAGAACAGATCATTTCAGAACCAAATATTCGGAGGGTTAGAGGACCTCTATCAACTTGATCACTCCCTTTATTTGACTGTGTGATTTTATACATCAACAGTTTGGCACCTATAGTGGGGCCTTCTTTCTTCTCTGAGAAATCATATCTGACTCTGAGCATATGCCCGATCAGTTCATTCCCAGAGAGCCACATCCAGCCTATGTCACGCAGGCTCAGCTTGAGGAATCTACCTAGTGGATCAGTCAAGCCTTCCAACAACAGTTTGCTGCTTTCACCGCAGAACTCCTCCATCAGATTCCTCCTCCCCAACCCGCTCACTTTGTTGGTCCACCTCCATCAGGGGGCCAGCCTTCGGCGACTCCATCAGGGGAGATGATTACTTTATTGTTAGTGAACACTGACATATTTGCTTGGGGACCAAAAGATATGCCCGGGATCCCTCCTGAAGTGATAAGCCATGAGCTCGCAGTCGATCAACACACTAAGTCGGTTAGACAGAAGAAGCGGCATCTCGGCCCCAAAAGGCAAAAGGCGGCCACCGATGAGGTCGACCAATTCCTAAGAGTCGGATTCATTCAGAAGGTGCAATACCCTGAATGGCTATCCAATGTGGTGATGGTGAAGAAGGCTCTTAATAAGTGGAGGATGTGTGTATATTTCACTGATCTTAGTAAGGCTGCCCAAAGAATAGCTACCCCTCCCTCGGATCGACTAGGTTGCTGACAAAAGTGCAGGACATGAATTGCTTAGTTTCATGGATGCCTTCTCTAGCAACAACTAGATCCGTATGGCAGAGCATGACCAAGAGAAAACTTTATTTATTACAGACCAAGGGACGTATTGCTATAAGGTGATGCCATTCGGTCTCAAGAATGCTGGCACCACCTACCAGCGGCTCATCAACAAGATCTTCAAGCCCCAACTTGGCCAAAATCAGGAAGCCTATGTGGGCGATATCCTCGTGAAGTTGAAGCGGTCATCAACACATATAGTATACATTAATGAGACGTTCACTGTCCTTCAACATTATCACATGAAACTCAACCCAGCCAAATACGCTTTCAGGGTGTAATCGGGAAAGTTCCTTAGGTTCATGATCACCTAAAGGGGCATCGAGATCAACCCCAAGAAGATAGCTGCCATAGAGCAGCTACCCGAACCACACACATTGAAGGACATCCAAAGGCTGAATGGGAAGATAGTCGAACTGCTCTCTAAATCAGCCAAGAAGAGCCTCCCTTTTTTAGGATTCTAAGAGGAAGCAAGGAGCACAAGGAAAGCAAGAGTTGGACGACTGAATGTAGTGCGGCCTTCAAAGATCTCAAAATGTAGTTAAGCATTAAGCTGTTGCTGAGTCAACCCAGAGAGGAAGAGACCTTGCATCTATACTTAGCCATCTCTCCCAAAGCCATCAGCTCTGTCCTGGTTCGTGAGGAGGATAACACCCTAGTACTATGTTCACCGAATATTAAAAGCTGGTGAACTCAACTATCCTCTCACAGAGAAGGTTGCCTTTGTTTGCATCACAATAGACAAGAGACTCCACCCTTACTTTCAAGCGCATTCCATAATTGTTCGGATGATCTTGCCTCTGAAGAAAGCTCTCAGTAGCTCCACCGCTTTAGGAAGAATGGTCGCTTGGTCGGTCGAGCTAAGCGAGCATGATGTACGGTTCGAGCTAAGGATGACAATCAAAACCCAAGCCTTAGCCGACTTCCTTATTAAGTTGACCTTACCAGACGACGAGCCAACCACACCTTCACCGCCACCCTGGCAGGGGCCATCGATGTCTCAAATAGTCAAGACCCCTGCACCTCACCCAAGACGTGTGCCCACATACGATTCACCAGAGTTTGCCTCTTGATGGTTGTTAAAGGTGGATGGATCCTTTAGAGAAACCGGCAGCGAAGCAGGAATAGCCTTGCATGGCCCTGACAGGTAGACACATTAGCACTCCATCACTTTTGGATTCTCAGCCTCCAACAATGAGGCCAAGTATGAAGTACTTCTGGTCGGTCTTCGAGCTGCCTTAGTAGTAAAAGCTGAGCCCATCTACATTTTGGTCGACGCCTAACTGAGGTTGTCCATAAGGTGAATGGAGAATATGTGGCCAAAGATTATAGGATGATTCAATATTTAAAGGCGGCTAAAGATCTACTAGCTAATTTTGCCGATTTAAGAATAGTCCAAGGACCCCGTGCCCTCAACGCTCGGACAGATGCTCTATCAAGACTCGGATCAACCAACTTCGAAAGCAGCTCGAGGCCAGTGTGCACTGACACCCTCGAACACCCTAATATTAATGTTTAGTGGAAAATTTGTAGTAAAAAGAAAAATTGAAAGAAATATATTTAATTTGTATTCTCTCAATCTCAATTATAATTTGGATTTCTGATTACAAAAGAGAGGAGAATTGATCTGAATTCCCCCCTTTGTTTAATTCTGGGTTCTTCACGGTGGCGATAGAGTGCCTTCTTCGAGTGCTCATGTTGAATTTGCTCTCTGTTGACGATCCGCACATCTCAATTCACTAGAACAACTAACTTACATGACGAGTATGATTAAGAACTCTTAAACGAGTTTTATAACTCAGGGTGAGTGTTAAACTCCGTGAAAAGAATTGTTTGAACCGAATAATCGGTTAATAAGCCAAGTAAAATTTTCTGTTGATGAAAGATGCTCCAAGATCTTCTTGTTGCTAAGAATCTCCCTCCAGCTGATCTCGTGGATGATCCGATCTCCCAAAAATCTTACCATCTTTACTCGGTTGAGTAATGTGGTTATTTATAGGGGGATAAGGGGTGTAACCAACCCCTAAATCCGCTCCAACGTGGGCGAGAATCCCTCAAAACATGGGATAAATGGTTCTGAGGCCGTTCAGCTTGTGTTTGAACAAGTCAAATGCTTAAATTAGCATTACAGGCCTTAACTCTACGTCTTAGACTCGAGACGTAGAGTTGGGTGCTTGCTGAGAATTGAATACACAGGGGCCGCTTGCGTTCTGAGTCCTAACTCTGCGTCTTAGACTTGAGATGCAGAGTTGGATGTCTGCTAGATGTTGAAGGTCGAAAACGCAAGGACCGCCTGCGTTTCGAAGACTAAAATGCAAAGATGGATTCTGCATTTAGAAGGGGCTAATGACTTGTAACCTCTTCTGTAAAGCATTGCAAAGACCATTGTTCGGTAATCTTCGCTTTAGCTATTTTGAGGTGTGAAAGTCGTCAGATTGTAACTCTCATAGTTGATGGTAAATACCACTGAATAGAATTTTCGTTAGTCATCGGAAGGGTCATTGAATTATAACTCCTCTCGATCTATGTGAAAAGTCCTCCATTTGCAGCTTTCATTTATTGACATAAAAGTCGTCTGATTGTAACCTTCTTAGTCAAGACTGTTGGTTGAGGTTTGATAAGGATCAACTATCTATTGTGATTTTTAGACAACCTACAGAACCCCCTCCAAAGTTTTCGAAAGTTCACGGTTGACTGGGATGAATTTTCAGAATACTTTAGATCTCAAAATTTTGTTGATTGATCGTTCACTCTGCCTGATTCGAAGACATCGTGGACCTGGTTATTAGAACGTAGTGATTCAGCTTCCTTAAACCAAACAAGGTAACTTTTGCGTCTTGATGACAATGAACTTAGTCAAACAAGCTAAAGCCCATTGTTATTGAACCAAACAAAGACGAAGATGATAACGAACTCATCTAGATCCTTAAGATACTCCACTTAACTTTTGAAGAGGTGTATTCTTCGAATTTTGTCTGGATCCTTAAGATACTCCACTCAATCTGTGATGAGGTGTATTCTTTGGATTTTGTATGGGTCCTTGAGATACTCCACTCAATCTGCGATGAGGTGTATTCTTTGGATTTTTTCTGGATCCTTGAGATACTCCACTCAATCTACGATGAGGTATATTCTTCGGATTCTGTCTGGATCCTTCAGATTCTCCACTCAATCTGTGATGAGGTGTATTCTATGTCCAGAAAATTCTTGTAGGCATTGATGAACACTCGACGTGCGGCTGCGGGCTTTAAGTAATAAAAAGTCAGATGATAGTGACACTATCATGGAAACACCAACTGTAAACTTGTTAACGAGGTCTTCTTTAGTGAGATTGAATATTTTTTGGCTTTGTTCATCTTGGTGGGAATGTTAAGCCCTTCAGAAGAATGAGTTGCTTGACGAATCGAACTCGATGATTTCAATCATCACTGACTATAACCTATCTGTACTCATCTGAAAGGCTCCATAGTTTCTTATCATAAGCCAGTTTCTTCTCGGCTTTAGTCACCTTGATGGCCAATATTAGCCTCTCTTTATTTATCTGGAGTTGTGTCTTAGCCTTGGTCGTCGAGACATTCCTTTTGTGACATTTAAAATGCATAAGTGAACTCTGTATTTGAGAATTGAAATGCAGGGGTGAACTCTATGTTCAGAAGTTCAACCAACGCAGACGCAGAGGTCGCGTTTGGCGGGATCCTTGCCTAGAATCTCGTTCTGATTCAATAGCTCATAGCTATCTATAAATAGACCACTGGGATCAAATCAAGAGTCATTTGACTCTTTCCTCTGTTCTTCTCCGAAAGGCTTAATGAAATTTTTTTCGTTTTAAACTTTGACGAATCCTGTTCATCTTCTCCGACCATCATTCTTAATGGCGCCCAGGAAGAAGACTGTTTCTCATCCTAAATCTGCCATCGTTGCTGCTCCGAGTTCGCTGCTAACTCCGATCATTGGTAGCGTCACATCTCAGGCGGGTGCGCCGCTACTACAAACTCCTCTCGTCGGTGGTGAGTGCCAACTTTCGTGGCAACCAAACTTGCTTCGACAAGTTTTGATCAATGAGGAAACTTGTTCTGATGTTGTGACGCAGACTCGGGCATCTGCGTTTGGAATTTGAAACGCTGGATCCGACTTCTATGTTAAAAAGAATATTTAATGGGATCTGAACCGTGCGTTTGAATGTTTAACGCAGGATTTGACCTCTGCGTTTCATTATTCTGACGCAGGGTTTGAACTGTGCGTTTGGATGCTTAACGCATGGTTTACCTTGTGCATTTCCTTACTCTAACGCAGAGTTGGAACCGTGCGTTTGAATGCTTAACGCAGGATTTAACCTCTGCTTTTCACTATTCTAACGCAGAGTTTGAACCGTTCAATTGAATGCTTAACACAGGATTAGACCTCTGCGTTTCACTATTTTTAACGCAGGGTTTGGACTCTGTGTTAAAATATTTAACGCAGAGTCTGAGCTCTGCATATGACCTCTTTCTCAAGGAGTTC